AAACGGGGGGGGGGGGGGGTTTCCTCATACCCTATAAAATCTCCTTTTCAGAGCCATTCTTCTACAATTCGTTTCAATATTGAGTTCACTTATTTTCATTAGTAATTTGTTCTTCTGCTTACCTGACGTAAACATACACGATGCTGACGGTAGATGATTTTCTGGACATGGAATTTAAGCCCAACATGAGTCGAATGGATTATTTGTTGGCTGTTGCTGAAGTTGCTCAGTTAAAATCCATGTATGAAGAAGAAGACAACGTAGTTGCTGAACAAGATAAAGACTACTGCATCAAGAAAGAAGAAAAAATCATTCACAATATTCAGTCCATAGTATCATCTTTCCCAGTTAATAATCAAGATAATCATGCTCTTGATATTGACATCCCAAAGGGGAGAAGATCACTGCAAAACGTACGGCCAAGAAAAGTTACTGAACAATTTATCTGCAGTGAAGAATTGATGATCAAGAAAGCTGTGGAAAATTCAAAAGAAAAAGAAATCAGAGTAGTAAAAGCTGGTGATGGGGAAAATAGAGTGATTAAAATCAATTGGGCAGTAGGAAAATCAAGAGCAGAAAAAGCAGACTATGACCCACTTGGTTTAAGCAATGAAGAATACTTCAAACCAGAAAAGCAAGAAGAGGAAGATAAAGAAGAGGATAAAAGGGAAAAGAAGAAGGTGAAAAGGAACATTATCGTTAGGGTTGCACCTCCTGTCGTAATTAACGACCAACCAAGAGAATTGCCTATAGAATTCAAGAATAAAATTACAGAGATTGGAGGTTCAGTTGAATCAGCAATATTAGTGATCGAAAAGAGGTTGTTTGAAACTGATATTAAACCGGGAGAGGGCAGACTTTCAATCCCACAAAGGCAAATGAGTAATGAGTTTCTTAAACCAGAAGAAGATGCATATTTGAATACTCGGAATGGGAATAATGTGTCTGAGAAGAAAGTGAAGTTGATTGAGCCTTGTCTTGAAACATGTGATATTAATTTGAGAAAGTGGAATATGAACAAAAGTAATGGGAAAACAAGTTCAAGTTATGTGTTGACTACATATTGGAATGCTGTGACTAAAAGGAATGCTTTGAAAATTGCTACTTTGGTGCAATTGTGGGCATTTAGAAAGGGATCAGAGTTATGTTTTGCACTGGTCAAACTCTAAGACTCAAGTTAAGTAGGTAATAGGAGTAACTTTTATGAGTATATAATGTTAGTATATTTAGATTCATTCTTTTACTTTGGATAATATAGCTACATGTTTAATCTTTATCTATTTGAAGGAATTCTTTATGTGTTTTATTCTTTGTTTTGATCCTCTTCTAATTTATGAGATGAGCACTTACTTTTTCGAATACATAGGTTTACGGATTGTGGTAGAATGGATAGGATTCCTTCGTCCTTAAATTTGGAGAATGGAAAAAATTAGTAGGAACCTATGCGACATGAATCCGAATAGTCTAAATTTGTAAAGTTTTTAAAGTTCAACTGTCTCAAAATACTTGAATTAGAAAGACACGTCCATAATTTTATTTTTAAAAAATTATTTTTCATAATTACACGAAATTATTGTCACCTTAAGCACCACAAATACTCGTGCTCAAACCTGGACGTGAGGAGCTAAACAATACAGGATGTGTGCATGAAATAACATATAGATTTGAAGTTGGAGTCTGCTCTTTGTATTTGTTTAGTTTTGCACATCAATATTCACATAAATATAAATATTTATTACGTATAAGCTTGCTATTTGGTTTCTAGTTTGTATGAAACTTAGATTTATTGCATGAATTCATGTAGAAAAAGAACAAGCCAAATATTTTTATAAAAGAAAGCATTGCTCCACATAATTATCATAAATGTTTTAGGGAGTATTGCACATAATTTGTGGTATTGCTGTAGAAAGAAGCAAAGTTCTCCAACGATATTACCTTCTAAAAACGAGTTTACTTGGGATTAGAGATTGCACATCTAACCCAATTCTTCATTGCATAACTAAATGGTTCCGATCAAGTTCTAATTGGAACAACATGGACTTTAGGTTAGAATCCTTAATTTTATTGGAAGTACTTGAGCAAATATAATTGCTTTAAACTTAACCATCATTGGAACTTCTATCCCCATAGATGCGACATGGAAGTTGGAACGTTGATCCTTTCAAACAAATATATAATTGTGGGAGAATGAGAGATTTATATAGCTGTTGCGAAATCAATATGAGATTATTCCTCACAAGGATGATGAGTTATATTTGACAAAGGGATAATTAAATAAAGGTAGAGAAAAAATAAGTGTTTTTTTGTATGACTCTAATAATTAGTATTTGAAAATCTAGAGCAAGGACACCAATTATCTAATTTAGTTATCCATCTTGGAAAGTTCAAGCAATATTTAACTATTTTTTATTTATGGACTTGGTGAATACATGCAGTTCAAGAACTTATCTTTTTAAAATATATTTTTATAACAACTGATAAGAGATATTCGTGCAACGCACATACATAGAAACTAGTAATATATTAAAAGTACGAAGGACTTTAGCGAATGTCGTTCGCCTTTTTTGCCTTTTAAAAATAGAGTTAACATTGGGCAAGATTGTAATTTAATTATTTTTTAATATTTAGGTAATAAAATTAATTTTTTTTTCCTATTAGTTTTTTCCTTAGTTGATCTACGTAGAACTCCTAATATTTAGGAATTAGAGATTGAGCAGGATTTTAACTCGAAATTTTTTATAAATTAGGCCAAGCAATAACATCTCACTTTTAAGTTCCTTTCACGTATAAGTTATGGATAAATAAAAATTTTGATTCTCACAATAATCACAAATTCTCAAAAATATGATTTTTAAGTTGTTCATATAAAAGAAAAGTGTAACGACCCGACCGGTCGTTTTGAGCTCTAGCGCGTTGTTCAGCAGTTTGAGACCACGAGCAGCTTCATTTCAGGTATTATGACTTGTGCGCACGGTCGGAATTGAATTCCGGGAAGTTCAGAGTTGATTTGGAAAGAGAATTCTCATATCGGAAGCTTTAACTTGAAAGAATTAACTAAGATTGGATTTTTGAGTAAACGACCTCGGAATCGGGATTCGAAGGTTCCGGCAGGTTCGTATGATGATTTAGGACTTGGGCGTATGTCCGGATCGGGTTTTGGAAGACTTGGGAACGTTTCGGCACCTATTGTGGAAGTTAGAATTTTTGGAAGAATTTCATGAGTTTGGGGTTGAAGTGCATTCCAGTGTTATCAATGTTCGTTTGGGATTCCAAGTCTGGGAATAGCTCCGTATGGTGATTCTGGTGTTGGTAGCGCGATTTGAAGTGAATTCGGAGGCCCGTGGGTCATTTTTGAGTCATTTGGCTAAAGATAGAAATTTGAAGGTTTTTGAGGAGTTTGACCGGAAGTGATCTTTTTGATATCGGGGTCGGAATTCAATTCCGAAAGTTGGAGTAGGTTCGTAATGTGGAATGTGACTTGTGTGCAAAATTTGAGGTCAATCGAGCGTGATTTGATAGGTTTTGGCATCGAATGTAAAAATTTGAAGTTCTAAGTTCATAAAGTCCGGATTGGGGTGTGATTCGTGAATTCGGCGTTGTTTGATGTGATTTGAGGCCTCTAGCAGGTCCGCATTATGTTTTGGGACCGGTTGGCATGATTAGTTGGGGTCCCGGGGGGCCTCGGATGGATTCCGGGTGGTTAACATATTGAATTGGAGTTGGGGAGAATAGCTGAAGCAGTTGATATGTGACGACCCAAAGGGTCATCACCTGTATTCCTACTCGCTCTGTATTTCTGAGGCCGTGAAAACCTCACTTGGGGGTTGCCTCGAGTTTGTGTGGCAGTCCGGGCGCGTAGCCAGAAAGTTTAAATATGAAATTGTGAGAAAAATTATTAAATCTTGGTATTTAATTGATTAAGTTTGACTTCGGTCAACGTTTTGGGGCAAACGGACCCGGACCCGTCGATTGTACGGTCCGGACGG